AAAATTGGCTGGTTGTGGTAGCAGGCACTTGTAATCCCAGCTATTTGGGAGGCTGAGACAGGAGAATCACTTGAAACCAGAGGTGGAGGTTGCAGTGAGCCAAGATCGTGCCATTACACTTCAGCCTGGGCAATAGAGCGAGACTTTGTCTCAAAAAGAAAGTGTGTTGGTTGTGTTCAATCCACCTTCTACTTAAAAGATCGGAATCCGGAGAGTTTACGTAAGTATTGGGACCTTCAACTTCTTTGAAACACTATTCCAGCCATGCCACCTGCCAACAACTGACTGGACTTTGTTTTGTTTTTTTAGCTCACTGCAAACTCTGCTTTCCACACTCAAGCAATCCTCCTTCCTCAGCCTCCTGAATAGCTGGATCTACAGGCACAAACTACCACACCTGGATAATTTTTTAAAAAATTTTTGGAGAGATAGGGTCTCACTAGGTTGCCCAGGCTGGTCTCGAACTCCTGGGTTCAAGTGATCCTCTTGTGTCAGCCTCCTGAAGTGCTGGGATTACAGGTGTAAGCCACATGGCCAGCCAGTAATTTTTTAAATTATAATTTCCAATTTTTATTTTTACTTTTATAGACATGGGGTCTCACTATTTTGCCCAGAGTGGTCTCAAACTCCTGAGCTCAAGCGATCCTCCTGCCTGAGCCTCCCAAAGTGGTGGGAATACAGGCATCAGCCACAATGAGCCGTTTATTTGTACTTTGTCATGTCAGACAGGTAATGTGCCCAGGTCATAACACGGTTTAAGCGAGGCACAGCTCTCACATGTGCATAAAATCCTAATCATTGTGGCCAGGCATGGTAGCTCAGCACTTTGGGAGGCTGGGGTGAGCGGATCACCTGAGGTCAGGAGTTCAAAAGCAGCCTGGCCAACATAGTGAAACCCCGTCTCTACTAAAAATACAAAAGTTACAAAAGTTAGCCAGGTGTGGTGGGGCACACCTGTCATTCCAGCTACTTGGGGAGCTGAGGCGTAAGAATTGCTTAAACCCAGAAGATCTCGGTGTGAGCCAAGATCACACCACTGCACTCCAGCTTGGGCAACAGAGTGACACCCTGTCTCAAAAAGTGAATAAACAAATAAATAAAAATCACAGTGCTTATGAACTACAAAAGGATCGGCTGACAGGAATTGAGAACAGCTATTCCTGTAGATGCCACAATCCCCACCTCTCCATACTGCCTCATCCTTGGCCTCCTCCTGTTGTATACTTTACCTGCCTATAGGTGTTGGGGTTTTCAGGGCCCGCTGCAGAGCATGACAATGGAAAGTTTAGCGTCAGAAGTTAGGCTAATGAGGGTCCGAGTGCCAGCTCTGCTATCTCCTATGTGACGCTGGGGAAGTCGTTTCCCCTTTTTGTTGTTTTTTTTTTTTGAGACAAGAGTCTTGCTCTGTTGCCCAGGCTGGAGTGGAATGGCGTGATCTCAGCTCACTGCAATCTCCACCTCCCGAGTTCAAACGATTCTCCTGCCTCAGCCTCCCAAATAGCTGGGACGACAGGCGTGCACCGCCACACCTGGCCAATTTTTTGCATTTTTAGTAGAGACGGGGCTTCAGTATGTTGGCCAGGCTGGTCTTCAACTCTTGACCTCATGTTCCGCCCGCCTCAGCCTCCCAAAGTTCTGGAATTACAGGCATGAGCCACCACGCCTGCATGATTTCCCTTTCTACACTTGAGTTCCCCCATCTGCTGAACTGGGAAACAATCCTACCTGCTTCCAGACTAGAGGGAAAGGTGGTGATTAGAATTCACAAGGCACCTGGCACAAACGGAGCACCCAATACAGAAAAGCAGAACAGAGAGTGGGCCCGATTCATTGGGTGGGGTCAGGCAAAGTCCTGGGGTGTGGTGACAAGAGAGGTGCTGTCACCCACGTACTTGCAGGTGTTTTCACAGACGACACCGCTGTTATACTCGTCTGTTCCATCGCAGCAGTCTGCGGCAGAGGCAGGAGCCGAGATCAGACCTAGCAGTGCCTCCTCCCTCTCTCCCTTCCTCCCTCCTTCCCTCCCTCCCTCCACCACCTTTCCTGAATCCTGGTGCATCCTCACTCACCACAAACACCATCATTGACGCGGTTGGAGGGGATATACAGGGGCTTATAGCCAGTGTTGGTGCAGTGGAAGCTGCCATTAGGACAGGCAGCCGTGCCTGGGAGAAAGAAGGGAGGAAAGGTTTTCAGAGTCAGCTCAGGGCCAGACATGTCCCTCCCATCCACAGACAAGAGCCCCTGACAGGCCGGCCGCGGTGGCTCAGGCCTGTAATCCTAGCACTTTGGGAGGCTGAGGCGGGTAGATTGCCTGAGCTCAGGAGTTTGAGACCAGTCTGGGCCACACGGTGAAACCTGACTCTACTAAAATACAAAAATTAGCTGGGTGTAGTGGCGTGCACCTGTGTCCCAGCTACTCGAGAGGCTGAGGCAGGAAATTGTTAGAACCCAGGATGCGGAGGTTGCAGTGAGCTGAGATTGTGTCACTGCACTTCAGCCTGGGCGACAGAATGTGACTCTATCTAAAAAAAAAAAAAAAGCCACTGACCCACACTACACACACAGAGTACAAGAAACAGAATGACTAAGGGAAGGAAAGAGCTGTGCACTGCACCCTCAGGGCTCAAGTAAAGCTCTGCAGTGCTCCCGGAGAGCACTTCTGCCTCTCCTCACTGAGGCCCTTCAAAACAGGGTTTCGACTGGATGTGGTGGCTCACACCTGTAATCTCAGCATTTTGGGAGGCTGAGGTGGGTGGATCACCTGAGGTCACGAGTTTGAGACCGGACTAACTGAATGGTGAAACTCTATCTCTACTAAAAATACGAAAAATTGGCCACACGTGGTAGCGTCCACCTGTAATCCCAGCTACTTGGGAGGCTGAGGAAGGAGAATTCCTTGAACCCAGGAGGTGGAGGTTGTGGTGAGCAGAGATAGTGCCATTGCACTCCAGCCTGGGAGATAAAAACAAAACTCCATCTCAAAATAAATAAATTTAAAAAAAAAAGGTGGGGCACAGTGGCTCATATCTGTAATCCCAGCACTTTGGGAGGCCGAGTTGGGTAAATCATGATGTCAGGAGATGGAAACCATCTTGACTAGTATGGTGAAACCCTGTCTCTACTAAAAATACAAAAATTTTAGTTGGGCGTGGTGGTGCACACCTGTGGTCCCAGCTACTCAGGAGGCTGAGGCAGGAAAATCTCTTGAAACTGCAGAGGTTGCAGTGAGCCAAGATCCCGCCACTGCACTCCAGCCTGGGCAACAGAGCAAGACTCTGTCTAAAAAAAAAAAAAAAGGTCTCATCCTGGTGGCTCGAACCTGTAACCTGTAGCAGTTTGGGAGGCCAAGGCAGGAGGATGACTTGAGCTCAGCAGAGAGCTATGATCACACCACTGTACTCCAGCCTCAACAACAGACCAAGACCCTGTCTCTTCAAAAAACACAAAAACAAAAACCCAAGGTTTCCCTTCACCTCTGTCTCCTCCTGGATTGCTCTTGGCCCCACCCTGTCTCACACTTCTAGGGGTTTGTCCACGTTGGCCCCTCCATCTTAGCACCTTCGGAATTCGACTGAAACCTCACCTCCTTGGAGGAGCCTTTTCTGACCCCCAGGCTTCGGGGTTAGGAGGACTCTGGGCTCCTCCAGCTACCCAGGGCCATAACACTGACTTCTGGGCTTGTTTCTGCCCACTCAACGGGGAACCAGCACAGGGAGTATCTTGGTCACACAGACAGGCCCGGCACTGAGCAGTGTTCAATAAATATCTGATGCATGAACAGAGAAAAAGCTCACCTGGCTCATCAGAGCCATCCTTGCAGTCGCAATAGTCATCGTTGACCTGATCGAATGGGATGGTAGCTGAACCGTCCAGGCAGGTGAACGGCTTGGACTCATCGTAGAAGTGATGATCTGTGAGGGTGCAGGAAGCTCACGTGAGGGCAGGAAGGGGCCTTCTCCACCAACCACCACCTCTGCCCTCCCACCCCCACCAGCGTAGCACGGCCGGGAAACTGAGGCAAAAGGCTGTAAATGCCTATCCCTAAGGCCCAATGTTGGCCTCTCCCACCTCCAGCTTGGCGGGAGGGTGAACTCACTGGTGAGGGAGACGCCCCGGGGCCTCTTGACCTCCACCGCCCAGCACAAGGGTAGCAGCAGAAGCAGCAGCAGCAGCATTTCACCAGAGGCTCTCAGGCACGAAACGGGTTCTGTAGGAGGAAGCCGGCAGCGGGGAGATGCGCTGTATCCACACGCTGCAGCAAGAAAGGGGATCCGATCAATGAGTGAGGGCTACTTCCAGTTAACTGGATTCCTCCATCGCTCCCAGGCAATGAGGCCTCACTTTGTTTCCCATATAGGGGCGAAGGGCAGCGATCTCCCTAATCCTAGCCAGTCTCACTTGGCTCAAATCAATGGCGAGGATCTCCAAACCTTGCTCCCTGTGCCTGGTTGTGGCCCAATTCCCGCCAATAGGCCGAAAGGGTTAACAGTCTCCGCCGTCCACACCCACACATGCACCCTCCCGTTGCCCCCCTGTAGGAAATTAAGTTAACCTCCCACTCCCTCGTTCAACACCTTACACGAGGCCGGGGCAAAGGTCAGTATCCACCGCGCCCCTCTTGTTCGGCAGGCACGGTTCCTGCTGCAAAAAGAAAGCGGAAATACCTGTGAGCCGTCACTACCGGTGGTTCGTCCCGCACCGGGAACGGCGAGTCAGGGTCGCCATATTGGGAGTGGCAGGAGTGGGGGAGGTGCTAGAGCCGAGACGGCCATCTTGGCCAGGAGTGTGAAGCCTTAGAGAGGATAGTTCTGACGGCTCGCTCTTAATGGCGGCGCAACGTACCACCATCTTGGGAGTGGCGGCTTCTCCGGAAAGAAAGTTCTTGAAAAATGCCTGCGAACCCCCCGGAGCGGGAAAAGGTTGGGAGAGGGAGGGAAATGGGATGATCACGTGACCCTAAAGTGTCCTGACCCTCTGTCCTGCTGCTCGGCTCTGCTCCGCCCACTGTTGGGACGGTCCCTCCATGCAGCGTCAACCAATGAGAACGCAGTGTCAGCCATGGAACGCGTGTAGTCTCCATGGAAACACTGGAGCGAAGGGGAGGCGGTTACCTAGCAACCGAGAGATGCGGAGAGCAACCGCCTAGCGGTTGGAAAGTGCATTTTTCAGAGTCCTAGGAATCCGAGCTGACCGATCACTGACAGGGGCGATTGACTCCTAGTTGTCCCCCTAAACCCTAGGGGCCTTTGGCCCCGACCCCATCATGACGTCCCCCCTGTGCAGGGCGGCCTCTGCCAACGCCCTGCCTCCTCAGGATCAGGCTTCGACGCCCTCTTCCAAGGTCAAGGGCAGGGAGACTTCGGGCAAACCCAGCCATCTCCGAGGAAAGGGCACAACCCAGGCTTGGACCCTCGGCCGATCCAAGGCAGGATCCTTCCGCAGAGGTTCAGGGAAGTCCTCTATGCACTCGCAGGTGGCTGAATTACGTAGAAAGATACAACTGCTAGGTAAGATGGCTCCAGCGGGCACAGAGGGTCAGGGGTCAACAGTGTCCATACAGTCTTCTGACCAGGGATGGTGTGACAAAGGTATTTCTCCAGCATGAGTCTAGGTGAACAGCTTCTGGGCAAAACTCATATTTGTTCATGTTTTTCCTCCTCTCCCTCTTAAAACTTCTCATGAGTTCAGAACCGAGTGAACTGTACCTCAAACTTTCCTGTAACTTTCTCGCCCTCTCTCTCTCTCTTTTTTTTTTTTTGTTTTTTTGAGACAGGGTCTCTCTGCCGCCTAGGCTGGAGAGGAATGGCATGATCTTGACTCACTGCAACCTCCACAGGTTCAAGCAGTTCTCGTGCCAGTCTCCCAAGCAGCTGGGACTACAGGCACATGCCACCTCACTTAATTTTTATATTTTTAGTAGAGACGAGGTTTCACCATGTTGGTCAGGCAGATCTCGAACTCCTGACCTCAAGTGATCCACCCGCCTTGGCCTCCCAAAGTTCTAGGATTACATGTGTGAGCTACTACGGCCAGACTTTTTTCTTTTTAACAGGGTCTTACTCTGCTGTTCAGGCTGCAGTGCAGTGGTTCAACAATAGCTCACTGCAGCCTCGGCCTACTGGGCTCAAGCAGTTCTCCCACCTCAGCCTCCCAAGTAGCTGGGACTACAGGCGTACGCCACCGTGCTTGGCTAATTTTCTTTTTCGTAGAGATGGATTCTCACTATACTGCCCAGGCTGGTCTCCAACTCCTGGGCTCAAGCAATCCTTTCATCTCAGCCTCCTGAGTAGCTTGAGACTCACAGGCTCACACCACAATGCCAGGCCACTTTTTTTGTAGTTTTAGTAGAGATGGGGGTCTCACCATATGTGCCCAGGCTGGTCTGGAACTCCTGTGCTCAAGCAATCCACCCACCTCAGCCTCCCAAAGTACTGGGATCACAGGCATGAGCCACGGTGCCTGGGCACAGATCCTCTTATACTCAGAATTTTTTCAGTAAATATAGTCAGCCCTTTGTATTCCCGGATTCCGAGTCCGCAACTAAATGCAGATTGAAAATACAGTATTCACAGGCTGAGCGTGATGGTTCATGCCTGTAAACCCAGGACTTTAGGGGACCAAGATAAGGGGCTCACTGGAGGCCAGGAATTTGAGAACAACCCTGACAACATAATGAGACCATGTCTCTACATTTTTTTTTTTTGAGACAGAGTTTTTGCTCTTGTTGCCCAGGCTGGAGTGCAGTGATGCAATCTTGGCTCACCACAACCTCCACCTCCCGGTTCAAGCAATTCTTCTGCCTCAGCCTCCCCAGTAGCTGGGATTACAGGCATACAACACCACGCCTAGCTAATTTTGTATTTTTAGTAGAGACAGGGTTTCTCCATGTTGGCTAGGATGGTCTCAATCTCCTGACCATGTGATCTGCCTGCCTTGGCCTCTCAAAGTGCTAGGATTACAGGAATGAGCCACCATGCCCGGCTTCACACCTGGTTAATTTTTGTGTATTTAGTAGAGACGGGGTTTCACCATGTCGGCCAGGCTGGTTGACGACTGCATTCTTTTTTTTTGCTTTTAGTACAATTTCCATTTCACTTTTCTCCAGAGAATAGTCTATCTTCAGTCTGTAAGGACTCAGCTCCTTACATGGGCTTTGGTGGGAGTCATGGGGCAGGTGCAGGTATAAATCGGGGTGGCGTGTTCCGTCCTTGCTGGCTTCATGAGATTGATGCCTGACTGCTTTGCTGTGAATTGCACAGCTCACACAGTAATGTAGCTTCACATACAGCTTGGGAAGCACATAGGCATCGAAGATGCTCAATTCAGAAATGTCCCTGACTGCTGCAGCCTCCATTGTTTTGAATGACAAATTTCTTTTTTTTTTTTTTTTGAGACGGAGTTTCGCTCTTGTTACCCAGGCTGGAGTGCAATGGCGCGATCTCGGCTCACTGCAACCTCCGCCTCCTGGGTTCAGGCAATTCTCCTGCCTCAGCCTCCTGAGTAGCTGGGATTACAGGCACACGCCACCATGCCCAGCTAATTTTTTGTATTTTTAGTAGAGACGGGGTTTCACCATGTTGAGGAGGATGGTCTCGATCTCTTGACCTCGTGATCCACCCGCCTCGGCCTCCCAAAGTGCTGGGATTACAGGCTTGAGCCACCGCGCCCGGCTTGAATGACAAATTTCTTAATGGCCTTGTCCTTGGCATGCATCAGGCACAGTTCATGCAGCGAATAGGCTGCACGTGGCCACGGCCCTTTTTGGCACAACCGTTGTTCCTTCTTTTCTTTGTCATCTTGGAGGCACGGATCGGAGAGAGCTGCATTCTTATAATATTAAGTTGATGATCGCAAAAAAAGGTCTTCTCTCTGGGATGTTGCACCCACCCACCCAGTAACTGTGTGTCTGTTCACCTCACCTGCCTGGCAGAGGGTGACCGGAAGGCTTTTTTTGAGAGCTCACAGTGGAACATCAAGAAGAACCAGGAGACCATCAGTCAGCTCCGTGAGGAGACTAAGGCACTGGAACTAAAGCTGCTGGACCTGCTCAAGGTAAGGGGTGAAGACGTGGGTGGAGGAGTTCCCGCGGGGCGGTGGTGGGGCAAGGAGACAGCACCTGGCCTCAGCTAGAGGTGGCATGATGAAAAGTGACCGCACTCTCCTCCCTGCAGGGAGATGAGAAAGTGGTCCAGGCAGTGATACGAGAATGGAAGTCAGAGAAGCCATACCTCAAGAACAGGACAGGCCAGGTTTGCCCCACCCTCTCCCAACCTCATCCTTCATTACCAGCCTGGGTCCCCTCAGCGCTGGACTCCAGGCTCACCCTCTCCAATCCTTTCTGCACAATAGCTGCCTTTCATGTGCTCATTCAATTACATCTTTATTACTCACTATCCTTGGACCTGGCATCCTGGCATGGTAGTAGATACAGCGAAAAAACAGACCAAGTTGGCCAGGCACGGTGGCTCACGCCTGTAATCTCAGCACTTTGGGAGGACATGGCGGGCAAATCACCTGAGGTCAGGAGTTCAAGACCAGCCTGGCCAACATGGTGAAACCCTGTCTTAAAAAAAAAAAAAAAAAAAAAACAGACCAAGTCCCCACTTCTAAAAACAGCTCATATTGGTTGAGCACAGTGGCTCACACCTGTAATCCCAGCACTTTGGGAGGCCAAGGTGGGTGGATCACCTGAGGTCAGGAGTTCGAGACCAGCCTGGCCAACATGGTGAAACCCCATCTCTACTAAAAATACAAAAATTCAACTAGTGTGGTGGCATACGTCTGTATTCTTGGCTACTTGGGAGGCTGAGGCAGGAGAATTGCTTGAACCTGGGAGACGGAGGTTGCAGTGAGCCAAGATCATGCCACTGCACTTCAGGCTGGGTAACAGAATGAGACTCTGTTTAAAAAAAAAAAAAAAAATTAGCCAGGCATGGTAGCAGTCACCTGTAATTCCAGCTACTCAGGAGGCTGTGGCAGGAGAATTACTTGAACCCAGGAGACAGAGGTTGCAATGAGCCAAGATCGAGGCACAGCACTCCAGCCTGGGGGAGAGAGTGAGACTCCATTTCAAAAATAAAGAAAGAAAGAAAAAAAAATGGCCAGGCACGGTGGCTCACACCTGTAATCCCAGCTACTCAGGGGCTGAGGCAGGAGAATCGCTTGAACCCGGGAGGCAGAGGTTACAGTGAACCAAGATCACGCCACTGCACTCCAGCCTGGGTGACAGGGCAAGACTCCATCTAAAAAAAAAAAAAAAGCCGGGCGCGGTGGCTCAAGCCTGTAATCCCAGCACTTTGGGAGGCCGAGGCGGGTGGATCACGAGGTCAAGAGATTGAGACCATCCTGGTCAACATGGTGAAACCCCGTCTCTACTAAAAATACAAAAAATTAGCTGGGCATGGTGGCACGTGCCTGTAATCCCAGCTACTCAGGAGGCTGAGGCAGGAGAATTGCCTGAACCCAGGAGGCGGAGGTTGCGGTGAGCCGAGATCGCGCCATTGCACTCCAGCCTGGGTAACATGAGTGAAACTCCGTCTCAAAAAAAAATTTAGAACGCTGAGTGTGTGTAAGATCACCACGGTGGTCACTGTGGACAGAGAGAAGAGCCCGGTGCTGTGTCTCCAAAAACAACACAGAAGGGGTGGCCAGGGAGGTGGGTAGAAAACTGGAGAGGGGTGTCCTGGAAGCCACAGTATGGGAGAAGGAAGGGTGTGTACTGGGATGGGGTGTTCAGGCCCCTGCTTTCGCTTGGCCCCTTGCAGCAGGCTCTGGAGCACCTAGACCACCGGCTGAGCGAGAAGGTGAAGCAGCGGAACGCCCTGCAGCACCAGCTGGTGTTGCGGCAGAGGCGGCTGGAGGAGCTCCAGCTACAGCACAGCCTGTGCCACCTGGAGATGGCAGAGGCGCAAAACAGCCACTCGGAGGTGGCCAAGGTAGGGCCGAGAGAGGCCTGCAGGGCAGAGGGTCCTGTGGAAGGGATCAAGTGCAGAGGGCACTCAGCCCAGCCGTGCTGCTCTCTAGACCATGCGGAACCTGGAGAACCGCCTGGAGAAGGCCCGGATGAAGGCAGAGGAGGCCGAGCACATTACCAGCGTGTACCTGCAGCTCAAGGCCTATCTACAGGTAGGGACTAGGAGGGCTCGGGTGAGGGGGCAAGCAGGGGCTAGGGACAGCAGTCACAGGCCTGCCTCATCTCCCCAACATCTCCCCTCACGATGCCCCAGGATGAGAGCCTCCACTTGGAGAACCGGCTGGACTTCATGGAGGCTGAGGTGGTGAGGGCCAAACACGAGCTGGAGGCACTGCACCTGGTGAACCAAGAGGCCCTCAACGCCCGGGAGATTGCCAAGGTGCCAACCCTCTTGCCCCCGGCCGTCCTGCCCAGCTGCCGCGGTCTCCCAGCTTCAGAATCTGATCCCAGCTGTCCCTGAGCTTCCCCAACGCCCCCTCCCCCATCTATCTCCTAGCACCCTGTGGCGGGTAGCGGTAGGTGCCATCTGGTCCCCCTGCTCCCCTGCCCGCCCTCCAGAACCAACTGCAGTATCTGGAGGAGACCTTGGTTCGAGAGCGCAAGAAGCGGGAACGCTACATAAGTGACTGCAAGAAGCGCGCTGAGGAGAGGAAACTGGAGAACGAGCGCATGGAGCGCAAGGTGGGAGCACCCAGGAGTACGCGGCTGTGACTCCAGCCCAGCTGAGCCCAGACCAGCCCAGCCTTGCCCTGGCTCTACCTCATCCTAGGCCTTCTCCCACTTCCGAAGTTTCTCCTAACCCCGCCCCCTTCCTGACTCCACCCCCAGTTGGTGCAAAGACTCTTCCCATATCCCTGCCCCGCTCCTCCCCTTCCCTCCTGGGTGGCTGTTCCATTTTGGCTCTGATGTGGCCTTCAGCCTTCCCCTTACTCACTGACCCCTACCCATCCTTTCCCACCTGAGTAGGCTGCCTGTCTTAAATCTGACCCTGCCTCTAGCCTAACCCTTGCCTAAGGCCCCGCCCCCTTCCTATTGGCCCCGCCCCCTGCACCTGTCCTGAGGCTGCCACCCGTCCAGCCCTTTTTGTTTTTGTTTTAATTTTTCTTTTTGGTAGTTTGTGTGTGTATCTGTGTGTGTGTGTGTGTGTGTGTGTGTGTGTGTGTGTGTGTATGTGTGTGTGTATTTTTTGAGACAGGGTCTCACTCTGTCGCTCAGGCTGATCATAGCTCACTGCAGACTAGACCAGCTGGGCTCAAGTGATCCTCTCACCTCAGCCTCCCAAGTATCTGGGACTAGAGGCGCGCCACCAAGCCCTACTAATTTTTGTATTTTTTGTAGAGACGGGATTTTGCCATATTGCCCAAGCTGGTCAAACCCTTGGGCTCAAACGATCCTCCCACCTCGGCCTCCTAAAGTGCTGGAATTAAAGGCGTGAGCCACCTCCACCGCGCCTGGCCTTGTCCCACTTTCTTGACCCCTGCCCAGTGCCCTTATCTGGCCCCAAGCTTTTGCCCTCTCCCCTCCCTCCAGTTCTAGCCCTGCTCCCTTTGGTGCCCCAGTCTGGATTCCCCTCCCCATCCTCCGCTCTAAGCGCTGTGCACGAGCTGACCCTGGCTCTGACCTCAACCCACGAGCAGACCCACCGTGAGCACCTGCTGCTGCAGTCTGAAGACACCACCCAAGATAGCCTGCATGCCAAGGAGGAGGAGCTGCGGCAGCGCTGGAGCATGTACCAGATGGAGGTGATCTTTGACAAGGTCAAGGACGCCACCGGCACTGCCGAGTCGCACGTGAGTTCTGTCCGCAGCCCTCTCTGCCGAGCCCCCTCCACCCTAGACGCACCCTGGGGTCCCCAGGCCAATGAAACCGACATACCCTGCCTCTCCTCTGCCAGGTCAGTTCTTAAGCTCACAAACCTGCTCCTTTCTTGAAAAATATCTCTTCCCTCTCCAGCTACCATTCAGTTTTTCTGCTGCCCTTCGAAGCAAAACCCCCAGGAGCTGTCTACACTCGCCCTCATTTCTACACTTGCCTTCCTTTCTCTCTTGCACCGTGCTAACTCCTTTGCCATGCCAGCTGTAGGAGAACTGGGAATTTCCTCTCTTGTTCTGTCTCCAGTGTCTGCAAGTGGCATCCCTGCCCCAGGTCCCTCACTTTGCAGTGTCTTCCTTGCAGTATTCTAAGACCGCTGTGTCCCCCTTGGGTCCCGGTTCCTGCCAGTGAACACTGGACCCCAACCCTGTTTCTTCCCTCTGGGTGCCTGCCAACCTGCGGCGCCTCCTATGGGGCCAACCCCCGAGGAGTTCTGGGACTTCCACCTATGGGAGGACACCTATGGGGTCATCTGGGGCACTGAGGCGCAGCCCTTTTCCAGATTTGGGCGTTGTGAGGGGATGGCTCCGAAGATGGGTAGTATTTCCTGTGAGACTGGGGGAGATTCACGGCCAGAAATGGATGGCACATTGATTTTGGAAAGAAGCTATGTTCACCTGTCCAGCTGCCCCCGCATTTGGCCTGACTCAAATTCCTTGTATTTGTATGCTTTTTTATTTTTTTGAGACGAAGTCTCGCTTTGTCCCCCAGGCTAGAGTGCAGTGGCCCGATCTCAGCTTACTGCAATCTCTGCCTTCCGGGTTCAAGTGATTCTCCTGCCTCAGCCTCCCTAGTAGCTGGGACTACAGGTGTGCGCCACAACGCCCTGCTGATTTTTGTATTTTTTTTATAGTAGAGACGGGGTTTCACCAAGTTGGCCAGGATGGTCTGGATCCCTTGACCTCGTGATCCGCCCGCCTCAGACTCTCAAAGTGCTGGGATTACAGATGTGAGCCACCGTGCCCAGCTCAAATTCCTTATATGGGCCAGAATGGGCCCCGCAAAAATGATATATCCAGGGCGGCTCACCCTTGAAGCAGCCCCGACTCCAACCCACAGTATCTCCATACATCCCTGTGTAAAAGGTGCCAGCTCAGGCCACCTGTCCTGCTTCCGAGGGGACGCAGAGTGGGGGGCAGGAGGTGAAGCGCTCCTGCACCTCCTTAGACTCTGGCTCTGACTGGGACTGGGTGGTCCGCAGGCGGTGGTGCGGCGGTTCCTGGCCCAGGGAGACACCTTCGCGAAGCTGGAGACGCTCAAAAGCGAGAACGAGCAGACGTTGGTGAGGCTGAAGCAGGAGAAGCAACAGCTGCAGCGGGAGCTGGAAGACCTCAAGTACTCGGGGGAGGCCACAATGGTGAGGTGAGGCCCTGGGATCCCGGGGTTGTCGGTGGGGCGGCGGCGGGGCGGACTGAACCCCCCGTGACTACCTCTCCGTTCCCTGCAGCCAGCAGAAACTGCAAGCCGAGGCGCGGGAACGCCTCAAGCAGGAGGAGCGGCGGCACGCCGAGGCCCAGGACCAGCTGGAGCGCACCTTGCGGGCGATGCAAGTGGCCAAGGACAGCCTGGAGCACCTGGCCAGCAAGCTGATCCGCATCACTGTGGTAGGCCCCGCCCAGAGGAAGCCCCTCCAGGACCTCCCGAGACCGATGACGCGCAATCACGAAGCGGGGATTCCTGTCACAGCGGCCTGCCCTAGGGAACCCCCATCCTGTGTCCCTGACGACAGAGGCCCCGCCCACATGGAAAGAAGCCTCGCCTCATTCCTCAGAATCCCCGCCCCACATCCCTGGGGAAACTCTCACTCCCGCAAGGAAGCCCAAAACTTAGGAGGCCCTGTGCCGTCCCAAGCTCCACCTCCAAGGGAAAGCCCCACCCTGTCCCCACCGAAAACCTCGGAGACCTCGCTGCAATTCTGGAGCAATCCGAGACAGACCTATCGTGCCCGCAGCAGAGGCCCATTTCTTCAGGAGGCCATTCTCATAATGGCCTCCCTCGAGTTTTTACCGTCCCCACCAAGGGGCCTCCCCGAAACCTTTCCACATTCTAGCTAGAGTTCAGAGGCTCCGCCCTCACAGACGTGGCCTTGACCCGCGTCCCCGCCCCCACTGACTAGCACCGCCCCTGTAAATGGGAATTTACCTCCCAGGCCCCGCCCCCCAGAGAAAAGGCCCGCCCCTGGGTGGAGCCTGTCCACGAGGCCACACCCCTCTCGGCTGACCCCTCTCGTCCTCCTGCCCTGGCCGCAGGAGGACGGTCGCTTCGCGGGAAAGGAGCTGGATCCCCAGGCAGATAACTATCTGCCAAACCTGCTGGGCCTCGTGGAGGAAAAGCTGCTGAAACTGCAGTCGCAGCTCGGGAGCCACGACGTCCAGGAGATGCTGCGTCACATCACCAACCGCGAGGTGCCCTGCAGCCATGGGGCAGGGCTCCAGAGATCGAGGAGTGGGGCTGGGTCGGAAAACCAGGGAACCGCGGGTAACCTCGGGAGACCAGGGTGCAGGCTGACGAGCCAGGAAGGGGTCTCGGGGAGAACGAGTGAGGTTTGAGGAGCCACCAAGGAAGAAACCAGAAGAGGTGGCCGGGCGCTGTGACTCACGCCTGTAATCCCAGCACTCTGGGAGGCCTAGGCGGGTGGATCATTTGAGATCTGGAGTTCGAGACCAGCCTGGCCAACATGGTGAAACCCCGTCTCTACAAAAAATACAAAAAGTCTCTACTAAAAATACAAAAAATTAGCTGGGCGTGGAGGTGGACGCCTGTAATTCCGGCTATTCAGGAGGCTGAGGCACCAGACTTTCTTGAACCCAGGAGGTGGAGCTTGCAGCCAAGATCGAGCCATTGCACTCCAGCCTGGGAAACAAGAGTGAAGCTCCCTCTCAAAAAAAAAAAAAAAAGAAAGAAAGAAAGAAAAGAAAAGAAACCAGAAGAGGTGCGGGTGGGTCCAGGAGGCCAGAGGACGAGGCTGAGCAATCGGGATGGGGACAGGCCTAGTGGCAGGGCCCCAGAGACCAGGGACGGACCTGAGTGATGAGAGGTTGAAGCTGGGCATCAAGGTGTCTGCTGAAGGAGGGATGCGAGTGGGCAGTGGTCTCCAGCTAAAACCAGGGCATATCTTGGAATGGGGTAGGGAGGAGGGGGAATGTGATTTCTTGGTGGGAACGTGATTTCTCGGTGGGAACGTGATTTCTCGGTGGGAACATGGTTTCTTGCTTGCTTAGTTCCTTGCCAGCTTAGAGGGAAGGCTGCCCCAATACAACACCCGCATCGCCCTGCCGCTTCCTACTTCCAAGGACAAGTTTTTTGGTCAGTATGGGTGGAAGGATGAAGGGGTGCGGTTGAGCCCCAAGCTGGGGAGCAGGAGGTTGTCGGATATTCTGCTCAGGGCCAAGGTGGGGGTGGAATGGGGTGGTAAAGGCTGGGAAGGAGACCCAGGGATGGGGACCCGGATCCCTCAATGCTCCCTGCTTCTCCCTCACCCCCCGCCCCCCGTAGATGAAGAGAGTGAGGAGGAGGACAACGAGGTAGTGACCCGCGCATCGCTCAAGATCCGTTCCCAGAAATTAATCGAAAGCCGCAAGAAGCACCATCGCTCTCGGAGGTCCTAGACTCGTCCTGGCAGCCCCCAGCGGAGCCCCCGATTCCTCCGGGTCTAGCGAAGGCCCCACGGGGCCCCTTTAAGGGCCGAACGCGGTCTGGATAGGGAGCCGAGGCGGCCAGCGGCGCCCGGAGGAGAAGAAGGAGCTGGGCCAGACGTTCCCACAGTAAATTTCCCCAGCTGGGTCTGCCCTGGCCTCAGAATTGTGCAATAAAGGTCACAGACCAAGCCCCTGGGTATTCGTCTCTTCATGACCCTGCACCACTCAAGAGACAGCTGTCCCTGAAAACCCAGGGCCACAGACCTGTATTCCCTGTGTTCCCAGCACTTTGGGAGGCTGAGCTGGGTGGATCGCTTGAGCCCAGGGGGTCCAGACCAGCCTGAGCAACATGGTGAAAAACAGTTCTAACCGCCCCCCCCCAAATATAGCCGGGCGTGGTGGTGTGTACCTGTAGTCCCAGGTACTTGGGAGACTAAGGCAGAAGAATCGCTTGAACCCAGGAGGTGGAAGTTGCGGTGAGCCAAGATCGTGCCACTGTACTCCAGCCTGGGCAACGGGAGTGAGACCCTGTCTCAAAAAATTAATAAGGCTAGGCACCGTGGTTCACGCCTGTAATCTCAGCATTTTGGGAGGCCATGGCAGGTGAATTGCTTGAGGCCAGGAGTTCGAAACCAGCCTGGCAAGCATGGCAAAACCCCTTCTCTACTAAAAGTACAAAAATTAGCCGGGCATGGTGGTGGTACCTGTAATCACAGCTACTTGGGAGGCTGAGGCAGGAGAATCGCTTGAACCTGGGAGGCAGAGGTTGCAGTGAGCTGAGATCAAGCCACTGTATTCCATCTTGTACAACAGAATGAGACTCCATCTCAAAATAAAAATAATCGGTTGGGCACAGTGGTTCATGTCTGTAGTTCCAGTACCTTGGGAGGCTGAGGTGGGTGGATCACCTGAGGTCGGGAGTTCAAGACCAGCCTGACCAACATGGAGAAACTCCATCTCTACTAAAAATACAAAAAAAAAAAAAAAAAAAAAAAAAATGAACTGAGTGTGGTGGCAGGTGCCTGTAATCCCAGCTACTTGGAAGGCTGAGGCAGGAGACTTGCTTGAACCCAGGAGGTGGGGGTTGCAGTGAGCCGAGATCTGGCCATTGCACTCCAGCCTGGGCAACAAGAGCGAAACTCCGCCTGAAAAAAAATCATCATCATCATCATCAAAAGTGGAAGATGCCCCCACACTTGGTCAAGCTAGCCCTTTCCACTGGAGGACAGAGGACTCCGGTCTGGGGACACACACCTGCCCTCACACAGGAGCTCCCCCACATCTGGGGATAAAAAAGAGACCCTTCCCTTGGGAACAGATGTGTCCTTTCTCCTGAGCACAGATTGATAGGCACCCGGTGGAAGAGCCAGGACCTCTCCTGGGCTGGAGCAGGGTCCGGCTGGAAGGATCCAGAGCCGTGGGTCCGGCCTGCCCCGCCCCGCCCCAGCAACTCGACCGCCCCGCCCCACTGGCCCCAGCTCCCGGCCACTGCCCGCCACCCGCCGGCCCTTCCGCCTCACTCAGCGGCGACACTGAGAGGGACGGGCGCAGGCCATGGAGCGCACAGCAGGCAAAGAGCTGGCCCTGGTAAGGGGACAAGGGATTCCCGGACCCTGCATCCCTGGCCACCCCCAAGGTCCCGAAACTCCAAGTGCCCTCCCTTTGGACGCCATCTGCTCCCAATTTGAAATTGCCCTGGAGTCCCCTCCTGGGGACTCACGACCCTTGACCCAGTGAAGCGACTGTTTCCTCTTAGGGATGGGGGCGGGAGTCTCTGAGCGCAGTCGGCAGAAAGGGCCAGAGACAGGTTCTATGAGACTGGACCCTGGGACTCCCCAAATGCCACCCCTTTCCTCAGGACCTGGGAGGAGGGGACCCGCAGCGAGGAGGGGACTAGCCTGGGACCCCAGCCGGAGTCTCGCAGCCTCTGGCCAGGAAGGGGCGTGGGGATGGAGCAGGAAAACTCGGCCCGAGTCTGCGCCGCGAAGGAGGCTGAGGCTCCAGGACCCTCGCGCCTATAGTGCCCTGAGTCCTCCTCTGCGTCCAGGCGCCGCTGCAGGACTGGGGTGAGGAGACCGAGGACGGCGCGGTGTACAGTGTCTCCCTGAGGCGGCAGCGCAGTCAGCGCTTGAGCCCGGGGGAGGGCCCCGGGGGCAGCCAGGTGAGGAGGGGGTACGGTGGGTGGGCGGGGAGGGAAGCGACCAGGTGAGGGCGGAGCTGGAGAGCCGAGGTTTGGCTGCCGGGTGCCGCGGGCGGGAGGAAGGGAGGGGCTCAGAGGCGACCAGATGAGGGTAGAAAAGGGCCTGGGGGCGGCCAGGTAAATGGGGAGATCCAAGGAATAGGAGTGGGGCCAGGTGATGGCTGCGCAGTTCACAAGAGAAGCCTGGGGACAAACTGGTAAGGGCAGAACTGGACGGCCGGGTGAGGAAAGGCCAGTTTAGAGGGCTGGGGCTGGAAGGTGGAATGGGGTTGGTTTAGAAGTGGCCAGGTGAGGGCGGGTGGGGCAGCCAGTGAAGCATGTCAGGAGGGCTGAGGGAAGCTGGAGGTGGCCAAGAGTGTGTGTGTGGGGGCAGGGGATAGGGCATGGGAGACGGACGGCAGGTTGCAGGAGCTATTTGTGGACGGTGCTGAATAATAACTCCAAGCCAGGAAGGTGTGGGGCGCACACCTATAATCCCTGTGCTTTCGGAGACCAAGGCAGGAGGCCAGGAATTTGAGACCAACCTGGGCAACACAGCAAGATTCTCGCTCTACAAAATAAATAAATAAATAGGTGGGTGTGGTGGTGCTCAGCGGTGGTCCCAGCTACTCGGAAGGCTGAGGCAGGAGGACCATTTGAGTCTAAGAGTTGGAGGCTGCAGTGAGCTATGATTGTGCCACTGCACCCCAGCCTGGGCAACAAAACAAGACCCTGTCTCTAAAAAAAACCAAAAACAAAACAATAACTCCAAGAAGTCGGGAGTCAGAGGAATCACATGCAAGAGTAGTGCTAGGGGCTGGGCTCAGTGGCTCACGCCTGTAATCCCAGCACTTAAGGAGGCCAAGGTGGGTGGATCACCAGGTCAGGAGTTCAAGACCAGCCTGGCCAAGATGGTGAAACCCTATCTCCAATAAAAATACAAAAAATTAGCCAGGCATGGTGGCAGGTGCCTGTAATCCCAGCTACTCGGGAGGCTGAGGCGGAGAATTGCTTGAACCTGGGAGGCGTAGGTTTCAGTGAGCCAGGATGGTGCCACTGCACTCCAGCCTGGTGACAGATTGAGACTCTGTCTCAGAAAAAAAAAAAAAAAGCGGTGCTAGGGGCTGGGTGCAGTGGCTCACATCTGTAACCCCAGCACTTTGGGAGGCCAGGTGATGGATCACGAGGTCAGGAGTTCGAGACCAGCCTGGCCAGCATGGTGAAACCCCATCTCTCCTAAAGATACAAAAAATTAGCTGGGTATGGTGACGTAGACCTGTAATCCCAGCTACTTGGCAGGCTGAGGCAGGAGAATCCCTTGAACCCTGGAAGCGGAGGTTGCAGTGAGCCGAGATCACACCATTGCACTCCAGCCTGGGTGACAGGGCAAGACTCCATCTCAAAAAAAAAAAAAAAAGTAAGGAAAAAAGAGTGGTGCTAGGGATAAACGTGATTAGAGAAGGTGCTTCAAGGACCACTCCCGGTCTTTCATGGCCACCCCTCCCCTCCTGCAGGCCCCCAGCCCATCTGCTGCCAACACCTTCCTCCACTATCGAACCAGCAAAGTGCGGGTGCTGAGGGCAGCGCGCCTGGAGCTGCTGGTGGGAGAGTTGGTGTCTGGAGACCGTGAACAGGACCCCAGTTTTGTGCCCGCTTTCCTGGCCACCCACCGGACGTTCGTACCCACTGCCCGCCTTCTGGGCTTTCTGTTGCCACCAATGCCGCCGCCCCCACCTCCCGGGTCAGTGGCAACCCAAAACCTCCATGTTCCCACCCTAGATCCCCACTTGGGCACACCCTCACCTCCGTAGGTGGGACCAGGAAACACCTCCCAAACCCAGAGCCCTCTTCCTAAGGCCCCTCTAGATTCCACCTTCCTCAACTGCTGGGGGGCCTCTTCCCAGGGTAGAGATCAAGAAGACGGCGGGACAAGATCTGAGCTTCAACAAGAACCTGAGGTTGGTCCCCCATCCAAATAGGGGAGTAGGGGGGAGGAAAATCCCAGAGGACAAAGCTTACTGGTCGTCCTGGGGTTCTGCAAATTGCGGGTTGGGGCTGGGCACAGTGGCTCAAGCCTCTAATCCCAGCACTTTGGGAAGTACAGGTGGGCGGATCAGAAGGTCAGGAGTTTGAGACCAGCCTGGCCAACATGGTGAAACCCGATATCTACTAAAACTACAAAAATTAGCTGGGCATGGTGGCGGGCACCTGTAATCCCAGCTACTTAGGAGGCTAAGGCCAGAGAATCACTTGAACTCGGGAGGCAGAGGTTGCAGTGAGCCAAGACCACAGCATTGCACTCCAGCCTGGGCGACAGAGCAAGACTCCATCTCAAAAAAAAAAAAAAAGAAAATTGCAGGTTAGGTAATAAAAGACCAGGAGTCAGGCTGGGCGAGGTGGCTCACACCTGTAATCCCAGCATTTTGGGAGGTGGAGGCAGGTGGACCACTAGAGGTCAGGAGTTAGAGACCAGCCTGGCCAACATAGAGAAACCCTTTTTCTGGCTGGGCACGGTGGCTCACACCTGTAATCCTGGCACTTTGGGAGGCTGAGGTGGGTGGATCACCTGAGGTCAGGAGTTAAAGACCAGCCTGGCCATCATGGTGAAACCCCATTAAAAAAAATAGTAAAATAAAAATAAAAAAAGAAAAACTCTTTTTCTACTAAAAATACAAAAAAAAAAAAAAAATTAGCCAGGTGTGATGGTGCACACCTGTAGTCCCAGCTACTTGAGAGGCTGAGGGATGAGACTCAGTTGAACCTGGGAGACTGAGGTTGCAGTGAGTCAAGATCAGGCCACCGTACTGCAGCCTAAGTGACAGAGTGAGACTCTGTCTCAGAAAAAAAAAAAAAAAAAGAAAGAAAAGGAGAACAGGAAGAAGCCTAGGCACGGTGGCTCATGCCTATAATCCCAGCACTTTAGGAGGCTAATGCAGGCGGATCTCGAAGTCAGGAGTTCAAGACCAGCCTGAGCAACATGGTGAAACCCCATCTCTACTAAAAAGACAAA